TTCTCAGATACTGGTGGGCAGCAAGGTGGCATTGTGACCCAGGAGAGAAAAAGGTAGGTCTATATTTACTTTCCTTTCTACCTAGAGATTCCTTGGCAAGATCAGTTTCCTAAGACATTCATGGAATTCTGAGAGAAATGAGGAGATAGAGATGAGTATTCAGTGAAGGATGGTGGTGAAATCTGGAGGACAAATTAACAGAAAAAAAGAGAAGCTACACAAAGGAAAGAGAGTTCAAGATACCTGCAAAGGGTCTTCCTTGAATCTGCTGCTGAATATTAAGCCACAAACGCACAGGTGAAATTCCATGAGGTTAATGGAAACAAACTTCCAGGGAACTTTAAGAAAAGAAACTTCCAGAGCTAATGCAGTACTAGAAGACAAACTTCTGGCCAATATAAAGAAGAGAACTCTTCTAATACTCAAAAGATTCAGTAGAAATATTAGGATACTTTACTGGAAGAACTAAAATTCTAAAACAGTGGTTTTCAATCAAGGATGATTTTACTTTCCCAAAAGACACTTGGTAATGTCTGGAAACATGTTTGGTTGTCACATTTGGGGAGCGAGGGACACCACTGGTGTCCGGTGAGTAGAGGTCAGGGATGCTAATTAACATCCCACAATGCATGTGACAGTCCCCCACAGAAAAAAATTATTCAGCTAAAAAACCACTAGTGCTGAGGCTAGAAACTGTACTAGTGTAAAAGAAATACTGTCCTTAGATATAGGCAGTGGCTCTGCCCCCCAGCCCCATACCTCAAGGGGTTACCATGTTTTGCTTTTTCAAAGAAAGGTTCCCCCATTGCCTAGGAACAGCTGAGACTAGTAGTGATACATGAGTGGAGTTCCTTGAGCCTTGCCCAGAAATTGTGTGAGCCTCAGTCCCCACTTCTCCCTTCAGGGCTCTAAGAAACTTCCCATGCACGGGATCCACTAAAAGCCACAAGGAGTTCCTGTTAGGTAGTTTAGACAGTAATGATAACTGGGCAGGGGGAGCAAAAGGGGAAAAGAACAATCCAGAACACAAGGAACCTCAACTGTCAATCAACCATAGCACAGGGAACCTGAGTTGTAAATCAATCAATTAATCAATCAAGCAATCATAAAATCAGGATATAAAAACAAAACCTAGGAAACGGCACCATTTTTCCCCTCTTGGATTGGCCAACTCCCATTTCTCAGGAGTGTACTTTTTTCTATTTTTTTACTTCACTAATAAAAATCTTGCTTATATCATGTTTTCTGTCTCTCATCAAAAATTCTTTTTTTCAGGTGACTAAGAACCGAGGTAATTCTTATTTTCCTTTTCCCGGTAACATTTTGACATTCACGTTTATGAAATTGTCTAAGGGCTGCAAGATTCTACAAAGGAGGCCTAACGCACTTTTTGTTCCTGACAACTGGCATAGTATTTCTTTCACTAGATTGTGTGAGATTAGGTCACCAAAATGGTACCTATATGTTGATTTGTTGTGACTCTCACTCATGTTGAACACATGTGAGTTCAATACACTCAAAGCTGATGAGATTCCACCACCAACCCTTGGGCTTGAGGAGCTCTATTAGCTAGTGAATTGACTCTTTCAACCACATGCCACCACCTCTGATCTTCAGCACTTTACCCTACTCATTCTACCATCACCTCTGGCACCCAAGGCTTTCATCACACCCACAGGAACAGGCTAGACAGTCCTCTAGGGGTGGCCATGCCCTAACGTCCAAGAATTTTTTAACCATTGCTCTATAATACCAAAGGGTTCTTCTGATTATGCCCTCTCTTGACTCCAATTTAAATGGTGATGTTGTGCTTTTCTAGGTTGGCTGTATGCTGTTTCAGATGAAGAACACTTATTCTTTGAGTAAATGACACCACCCACAGACCGTTCACCCATCCTCCCCATTGACAGCAATGCATGAATTTAAGGCTGTGCTCAACCTTGAAAAAGACTACATTTCAGAAATGTAGTCAAAATGTAGTCACTGCGGCCTAAGGAATTTAAGAGAGATAGTAGCTAGAAGATGTGCTATTCTACATTTACGCTACAAAATTCTGAATGGTAAATTTAAGAGAAAAGAAAAAATTATTTGCATTTTCCAATAAGAAACAGATTTATACACATCAAAATAAAAAGCGTCCTTACAACTATGATTGTTGCACATCTCAGGAACAATTCACAAATGGGGTATGTAAGTAAATGTATATTAGAAATACATAATTTAAAAATCACCGTGCAAATTCACACTTGAACCCAGCAGGTGTTCATAAATACACTGTAATCCCAC